CACAACAGGAAGTCATGCGACGTGACCAAACAGCCAGTGAAAGCAGTACAGCTTGTTGCAAGTCTCAAATGCAGCAGCAAGATTAATGAAGAAGTTGACTTACCTTGGGGGTGCGACGCAAAATAGCTGCTTCAAGACACTTAACCACGCGCTCCCTCTCAGCTTCGGTGTCCAGCATCGAACCGTCCATGGTTCTGATGTAAAGTTCCTGCAGTTGAAGAATGCAACCAAATGAGAATGCCATACGGACAGTGACATGCGCTTAACGCTACAGTCTCAAAGTGCATGGAGATCAAACTGTTTACTCACCTGAAAGGCCACATCATCTTCTGACTCTATCGTAGCATGGTGAATGATGTACTGCATGTCCGTAAGTGTGCAGACCGTGTCAAACAAAAGTTTCGGCCGGTCCAGGCAGCTCAGCTTGATTATTGTATATTGAGACCCAGGGAGATTTCCTACAGAAACACTGGGACGAAGTTTCTCGTCAGCTGCACCAGCAGGAGAGACATGAATCCCAGCGGCTTCGTAATCCCTGTCAGCAAACATTAGCTGATGCAGCCTCTGGTCGGTCTGGGCCTCCCCAACAAAGAAGCTGTGCCGAGCCTCAATTCTAATACTGTCTGACTCCATCACCGAGCATAAGCTGTCGTGCATTTCGGCCAGCGCAGCAGGGTGGGTGACAGGTCCGCCGTTGACTGCTTGAGTAATGTGAACGACGATAGCCACGCGGTTATTGTGCGTCCAGACCTCTGCTCCCACCACATTGCATCCCAGCTTCGTCAACACCTCTGACACCTCGTAGAGAAGCCCAGGGCGGTCATATCCTGTGAGTTCTATGACGGAGTGTTCAAAATCTATTGCGTCCGCGACAGGCTTTCCTAGGCAAGTCCTTGCATCAGGAGCGAAATCCTCTTTGGTAGCACCCAGGGCCTGCCCAGGAAGAGAATAACATTCAGCAAGTGCGCAAACGCTCAATACCAAGCATTTGGTTGTCGCCTCACTCACCTTCTTGATAAACTGAATAAGGCTCTCGTCTGTCACCTTTTGCCCCAGTTGGTCCACGACATGGAAGACTGCTAAGGGAGAACCGAAGGACAATCAAGCTGATGTGATGTGAAGATGCATCTACACTATAAGTGTGGCCTGCAAGATACTCACCATCAACGAACCATCCGCCATCAGAAGAGATGTAAGCTTTGGAGATCACAAGATCAAGGTCAGTCAAAAGCCGTACGACCTGAAGAAGGCAGCCTTGCTTGTTTGCGCTGTCCACTTTAACAAGGGTTGAGACTGGGTCAGATTCGTTGTCGAATACAACGCTGCAAACAAAAGGAAGCTGTCAGCATTCTTCTCCGCAAAAGAGCTATATCTTCAGCATGTTCTGAATGCAAGCGGAGACGGCTGACCTGGGAGGGTTGACCCGCAACGTAGCTTCCTCGAAGCCTGCAAGCAGGAAGTAGCTCGAACTTAGCCCAAAATTGCGGCATCAAATTAAACACGCACTATATAACAGCTGGAAATTTTTATACCTCGAAAGGAGGTAAGAGAAAGCCTCGGCTGAAATGAGAGAATTGGTCTTGACAGTGACGCCATTAGATTAGAGGTAAGCGATTATGGCCCTGCGTATATTAGCCTAACGATTATGGCCCTGCGTACATTAGCCTAACGTCGTCACGGGAATACAACGCTCCAATTATCATCGCTTTTCAAGGTCACAAAAACAAGTCTTAGAAAAGCGTCCTGCCATGCGTAATGGCGCTGGGGTGAAAGCAAGTGGTCTGGGTTGCAGCATTACTTCTGGCAATGCGAGCACTCCATGAATGGCGGAGCAGTGGCAGGAGCCAAACCTTTTCTTCGCTGGAGCAGAACAACAGAAACAGCTGACAGCACAGCAACAGGTCACCAAGCACAGCAACGTTTCGGCGACGCTTTGCCCAACCGCAGCCTCCACTCGCACGGCGACTGGGACTTGGATCTGGGGTGGACAAGCCTCCATTGGCCAGTCACTCCTTGTGGCCCCGATTGCCAATATCAGGGGTCAATTCCACGCCACGAAAAGGCGATCAGGCTCTCTGATTGGAGGAAAGACATCCCATAAAGTCCAAAACGGCTCCGAAAGGCCAGGCGAGCCACAAACCTTTTTCGGCCATTATCTCCGATACTCAGATTTTGCCTGAGCGCGTTGTCAGGTGTAATCAACCTGGACTTTCTCAGCGTTGATTTGTTGTCGCTTTATAGTCACATCTTTCACACTGGTCAAACTCATTAGGAAATAACAAAAATAGAACCATCTCGTTTACCCTTCCGACTTGGATTTAAGTATGGAAATTTAGGTAGTAAGAGAATGAAGCCCATATAATTCACTTGGTAGTGCTCGGTACCGCAACCGACCGCTAAACAATTCTACCGAAAGCACTAGACGACGCTACCGAGAACTATTCGGGCATGGCACAAAAAAAACCCTTAGGGAACCTGGATACATTTTCGAGAGGAGTCAACCATAAACACTGGAATGGGCATTTATTTTAGGGTTGATGCCTCCCGAGTCGCATCCCTTTCCGAGTGGGTTTTATTTTTTTTGTCAAGTGGGTTGCAGTATGTTTTCCAAAATATTTGGCGGCTTTCGGTATTTAGGGTTGATCCTTCCCGGAAATCATCTAGGCTCACTACAGGTTTTATATTTATTTTTTTGCAAGCGCTGCAATATTTTTTTTAGTGACTATATACAAACAAGGGCCAGGAAAGCTTCCCACTATATCGCGGAGCCGTGTTTCTGTTGGCGGTTACACCTTAGAATGCGCTCAGGCAAAATTTGAGTATCGGAGATAATGGCTGAACCTCGTTCGATCCGACTGTGTAGGGAAAGGGGAAAGTGAGCGCAGGGTGTCAGCACAGTACTCGACACTACTTTACCTTGTAATATTATGTGCTCGTTGCGTTTTTTCCAAAAGAAATGCGCCTATCACCGTGAAAGTGATAGAAGTGAGACCCACCAACATGTGAATTACATGCAGAAACAGAGGCTTGAAAGTGGAGTTTGGTATATGTTTTAGCTTACGACTATCTCCTTTTCAAGAGATGCATATCAGCTATCTGGTGAACCTTGCGAAGTTAATTGAGTTTTAACCTCTGCCATCTGAGTCACTTGAGTGAGTGAAAAAATTCCTTCAGGTCTTTACTCCCCTGCAACTCTTTATACACAGCATCCACATTGAAAAAAGACGCAAACTATGTACAGTCGATATCATACGTGCTATGCACTGCACAGTATGCAGGAAAGGGATATACAGCATCGTAAATCAATAAATGCGAATGATGTCCTCCAGCATGAACTTCCCAGGTCCAAATGATCCTTTCGATTAACTCCTCACTTCCCATAAGATAGTAAGAAGTAGCAACGATAATATTATGAAGGGTATCGTTGTGCAGACTATACAGCGCATTGCACATACCGTACCGATCCAGTACCTCTACTATGGATCGAAGTGAACACCCTCAAAACGTGGGTTTGAAAAGGTATGTGAAAGCTTGCCACATGCCATCCACCTTTCTCCCAGCCCTCTTATCCTCGTTTTCCCTCCCCGTGCAGTCTTCCTTGCATTCCACCAGCTACACTTGCCTCCTGCGGCTGCCAGCGTGCAGATGCCACCATGCCATGCCAAGCAACACCAGGCCATGCCACACAATGCCATGCCATGCCAAGCCACACAATGCCTTGCCAAACCATGCCCCACCGTGCCATTCCAAACCATGGCACACCTCAAACAAATGCATGCCATCCCATACGATGGCATCCCCAACATGCTATGCCACCACACAATCACATCCTACACCATGGCATGGCATGGCATGGCATGCCAACAGTCTGGAATGCCACAACGTGAGATGCCACAGTAAGCAATCCCGACATATGCACCATACAATAAAGGAAAGTGCACCATGGCATGCCATACCATGCCGGATGACACACATGCATACACAGGATGGCATGCCATGCCATGCTCCACACCATGCCATACACAAACACTGAAACATGCACACTGTAACATCCATGTAACATGCAGACTGTACCATACACACAGTACCATGCACACTGTAACATGCACACAATACTATGAACACTGAAACATGCACACAATACCATGCACATTGTACCATGCACACTGTAACACACACACAGTACCGTGCACACTGTGCCATGCCACCGCACCAACAGGTGGCATCAGTGCCCTAGGGTTCATCCCATGCCACCCAAATGAGCATCATGCTCTCATGCCACAGGTGGCATCAGTGCCCTAGGGCTCATCCCCATGCCACCCAAATGAGCATCATGCTCTCATGCAACAGGTGGCATCAGTGCCCTAGGGCTCATCCCATGCCACCCAAATGAGCATCATGCTCTCATGCAACAGGTGGCATTAGTGCCCTAGGGCTCATCCCATGCCACCCAAATGAGCATCATGCTCTCATGCAACAGGTGGCATCAGTGCCCTAGGGCTCATCATGTGCCACTGCCAACCCCACTGCCTCTCACCACCATCACCACCCAGCCCACCCAGCTCTTTCCCAAACTCAGCTAATAGCAGTAGGAGCAGCAGACAGCCCACTCCCCTTCGGAAACAACAACCCCAGGGGGTTGTGCCTTGCAGGGTGAGGAGTGGTACTGGAAAATTGCTTCCAGCCCAAGACTCAAATCCCACCCCTGACGTAGCCAGAGCTGACGCGAACCAGAGCCGCCGGCCGGTCGGCTCTGACGGTGTCCATTAGGCCTTGAACGCCAGATCGGTTACTTGAGCACAGAGTGCCGTGCCGCGCAGATTCCACCCACCACACCCCGACCCACAACGCACAACCCCAGAAGGTGCTGCCCCTAAGGCAGTGAACTGCCCACTCACTCCCATGCTTCCCACCCAACCACCCACCTCACACTTCACCCCCATGCCTCCTTACCTCTACCTACCTCTACCTACCAGAGCCATGCAGAGCGCCATGATGCCTTAGGCTGCTGGGGAAGGGGTGGTTGAAGGGAGGGGGGGATGAACGGAAGGAGGGGATTCCACTGTGGTCCAGGTAGGGTGCTGCTGGGAGGGAAGGGAAAAGGGAGAGAGGAGGAGGTGAGTGAGAGGGTGGACTTCACTCTCCTGTCCTTGCTTCAGTGCTCCCACTCTCAGGCTGCAAAAAAGACACGGGGGGGAGGGGGAAGAGAGAGAGGAGATTCAGACAACCATACCTCACCTGATACCTTACCTCACCTGCTACCGTACCATACCTGATACCACACCTCCCCAGAGCTTCAGCTAGCCTAGCCTGCCCCCTAACCCCTCAACCCCACCGCTGCTACAGCATGCATGGAAAGATGATGTGCAGATGGATGTGAGCGAGCATGTGAGGGAACATGTGAGAGAGAGCGAAAGCAATGAACAAGCGAGATGGAATAGAGGGAGTGTACTCATCTGGTGCGGCTGTGAGTGGCGGTGGCGCCTTGAGCCTTGAGGCTGCTGTGCTGCCGCCATTGAAGCGCCTCACACCACCCAAAGGCGCTGCTGGGAGTGATGGGAACTCGCCACCAGAGGGGCTGCTGGGGGATGGGCGGAGGGGAGAAGTGGGGAGGAGGGAAAGGGGTGGAGATGGAGAGGAGGGGAGAGGAGAGTTGGAAAGGAAGTTAAGTGGAGGAGAGAGAGGTATGCAGATGGAAAGGGAGATGTGCAGGCAAGGCATACAGGCGTGGAAGAGAGGAGGGGAAAAGAGGCTCACCTTGTTTCATATGACCCAATCCCGATACTCTCCCTTCCTGCCCCAGCCGAGTGGAGTACTGCCCCCCTCCCCTCCCACCGTTGCACCTGCACAGCCACAGGGGAGGAGCGTGAGGGAATGGCGGTGTTGACCCCCACGCCCCTCCCCTAAACCAGCAAGGAGAGAACTGAAGGGAAGTAAGTATGCGGCTAGGGGTAGAAATGTGAGAGGAGTGCATGAGATGGCATGTGTGAGCAGAGAAGGGGGCCACTGGTGCAGCCTCAGCTACAAGCCACAGACCCAAGAGAGGTACACACCTAGGGAGGCTTACCTGCAGACCTGAGAGTATACCTGCAGTACCTGGGGGAATTTACCCAAGAAAAGGGGTCTGTGGCATGAAGCATTGGCTCAACCAGCGGTTTGCGTTTGAATTCACAAGAGGCAGGAGATGCAGCAAAACCTGAAATGGAATGAAAGTAAACGCAAGAGGAAGGCTGGGTACTTAGCTGTGGTTGGGTTCGGGTGGAGAGCAGCTGCTGCCTGTGCACTCCATTCCATGTCCCCCGCCACTGCCTCTCCCATGTGAGCGACCCGCTGGGACGAGAGAGGACAGAGAGAGGAAGGGAGGAGGAGGGGGAAAGGACGGAGGTCTGATAAGGAAGAAAGGTAGGGTGATGAGTAAAGAGGCGAAGGCAAGTGAGAGAAGTGAGAGCGAACGAGGGCAAGAGTGAAGTGTGGATGGATGGGCTGCTGCAGTGGCACACCCAAGAGACCTCGTACCAGCTGAACCATAAACAATCAGCTACCTGAGGCTGTACCAAGCTTTGAACCTGCTACCTTGGGGGAGGGAGGTCTCTTGAGTGTGACAGAGAGCAGCAAGGAAGGGAGTTGGATGCATGGTGCAAGCTAGACATGAGAAGCAAGACAATGTGAGGGTTGGGAGGAGAAATGAGCACTTAGCTGATGGCGTGAGAGCAGGAGGCAGTTGAAGGAGCATGGGCAGCAGGCATGGCATGGCGTGTCACTCGCGCTGCAGCACTGAGGGGGAGGGAGGCAGCAGCTCGTTGCACGCACTTCAGCACGGCTCGTGCGCTGTTGGGAGGGAGGGGGAAGGGGAGGGGGAGGGGAGAGGAGGGGAAGGCGGAGGGGCGGGGGGGAGCGGGAGGGGAAGGTGAGGAAGAGGCGAGGGGATGTGCATGGAAGGGTAGTGAGGGGAAGAGGATGCATGAGGGGTGAGGGAGGAAGAGCTGAAGGGGGGCCACTGGTGGAGGCAAGAGTAACAAGCCACAGACCCAAGGACTGGTCAATACCTGCAGTGAGGGAAGGCTTTACCTGACAGGTTCACATGAGGAGACTCACCTGGGGGAGGCTTTACCTGCAGTAAGGAGGGTCTGTGGGCTGTACCCTGTGCTGCCACCAGTGGCCGCGTTTTGATGGACGAATGGAATGAAAAACGTGCAGAGGGGCAGTGACGTGGGATGGATGCGTGGTGCGTGGAGGAGAAAGCACTTAGCTGACGATGTGGCTGCTTTCTGCTGCCGCCAGGTGGTTGAGGCACGGGGCCATGCTAATGCTGCCTCAGGTGCTTGCTCGCTGCCCCACGTCCGCCTGCCGTTGCTCCTTGGGCTCCACTCGCCTGCCCTTGCTCGCCACCACCGCGTGTGCCAGCGACACAGCTCTAGAAATCAATCTGTAAAGGGAAGATCACAAGATTGATGGGCCACGATGAGTCGCGAGATTGAACGCGAGATGGATTCGAGAAGATAAGTCGCAAGAAATGAGACGCGATACGCGACGTGTATCCAAGCAACTGCTTCAGACAAGTAGCTCGCGAGACGCGACGTGCCATATAATTGATCCCCAGAATTGATGAGCCAGTGACAAGCAGCGGGGTGATGAAAGCCATGGTGGGTGGGAGCAAAGATGGATTCGTGCGGGAAAGTAACTGAAATGGAAAGATCAACGAGAGCTTGAAGTGAGAGAAGAGAGCTTACCTTTTCCATTGAGATGGCGTCGCCATGCTTGGTGGCGAGCGGATGGCGACTCGCCATATTTGATGGCGAAACGAATGGCAAATCGCCGTGCTTGATGGCGAACGAATGGCGAAACCAACTGTTGATGGCGAAATGTCATGGTTGTGCGCAGACCACAGTATCACGGTAAGATAGTGCTTCCTGCACGGAAAGAATGAAATGCGAGTAAGCTCAGAGAGAGCCGTGACGGCAGTTCAACGAGCAAACCCATCATGGGGGAAACAGACGGATAACGGAACTTGAACGCGAATGTCGAAACGTACCGAAGAGGTTGACACGGCGAAATCGTCTTTTCTGACGACGAATGTCTTCTTGGTGAAGGCGAAATCGTTGGGTTCTGACGACGGCTGACGGCTGACAGCTAAAGGTTGCTGACGGATAGAACCGCTGCTAATGGTCGAAATCGTTCCTTACGGAAAAAATTGCTCAGCTTCCGGACGAAATTTAGAAGATTGAGGAATTCGCAAACCAAGATTGAAATAGCTGCTGGCCACCGAAGTTGCTGCTACGCCAAAATTCCGGAAGAAACCGTGCTGCATGCTAAAGGAGATATCGCTGTTGGTGGAAATCGACGCTAACTGTCAGCTTGCCGTTGTTTGACAGTCATTAAACTCAGCTAACTGGCGATGTCTAAACATTCATGTGGAAAACAAACATCGGAGCCCAATCATGAGCTGGCGAACGACTGGAAATGACGCGTCGATCTGCTTATCCTGAACGCAAACTGCTAGGGAAAACTAGGAATGACTCGGAGCTTGTGAGACGGATTACGGGAAAGATGTCGTGGTTTTGGAAATGGCTCCTAGGCATTCGTGGGCTGCGATAACTCGTGTTTTTGGTTGGATTGACAGAAGTCAGAGTGATTAAGCCTGGTTGGCAAGGGCGATTCAAGGTTCAATTGTGTGATGGTTCATGTTCTGTTGGTCTGCAGGTTTCTTTCTCAAGCAGACGATGGTTCAGCCCAGCCCAGAGCCATGCCAGCCAATCCCGAAGTTGGTTCAGCGGCGGCAGCGGGAATGGTGGTTTTCTGCTTGCGGCCCAAACCAAGCGCAGCGCTTGTTTGGGCGCAAGCGCGTGTTGGGTTCGCTGAGTGGCGGAGCGACTCCGCTGCTCACGAAAGCCTAGGCGATATCACAAGTTGTTTCGTTGTAGACAGAACACCCCCACTCTGCTAGGGCAACGATCTTTGGCGAAAGCTTATCGTCGCCACACCCGTCGAGAATGACCGTTGGCTGAAAGAGCCGCGGGCTTGCGGAAACCTTCCCCTAAAATTCACTGACACATAGCAGAGATTCCGCGGTTTTCGTTCGGTTTGCGCAATGCCTCCCTGGAGGTTCGGGATTTTAAACCAACGGCTAGGCTGCGGGAAGCGGAATATGGGGAGTTTTATGGAAGCCATCGTGAGAAAGGAGAGATCCAAGGCTGGGCAATTGAACGGATGATGTAGCTTAGTGCCGACATTAGCAAATTCTTGGTGCTCACTCCCTGTGTAGAGAATACACCAACATTTATCCACATCACTATTCCTTAAAACATTCAGTAATCAACTAAACCGTGAATTATAGAAAAGGTGGAAAGCACAGTATCAAAATTGGTCTGATTGCAGATAGTTTATCTATATGCACGCCCACATAAAAGACAAAGCATCAGAAAATCGGTGCATTATTCTCTCCTCTAAATTTCATGGAAGATCAACTGCATATTGACAGCGTGAAGACTGAATATTCTCCCCCAGACATGCCTGCCTGTAACCCTTCTCTAAAATCAATTGAAGACCCACAGTGCAGGACTTCTGAAAATTGACCAAATACAGCCAAGTCTCCCCGGAGTGTCTAATGCAGGCAAAACAGCAACCCGAACCCCCTCCAGAAACAAATCCATCATAGCCTTTTGAAGTCCAACACTAACGAATATAATCTGAACCCGACAACAAGGCCTGATGTGGAGCGAGTGGGTGCTCCCAAGGCCTTGGCGTTCCCAAGGCTGCCATTGGTGTGGAGCGAGCGAGCGCTCTGGAGAATTCTCACGCTCTTCTCTCAAGCTTGCAACTATCTCATTGGTGACCCTGACTACTCACCCTTACCACTGCCTCTCACCCCACACTCTCCCTATGCTCCCCACACTCACTGCTCACTCACCCAGTCACTGTCAAATCAAAACACACTCTCATCACTCAGACTGACTTGTCACTCTCACCACTCACCCTCCCCAATCTCTTTAACCACTGACAATCATCATTCACTCTCACAACTCACTTCTCATACCTCATACTCACCACTCACTCACTCTCCCAAAACACTCTTGCCATGCACGACTCACTAACTCTTTCCACCCACTGTCACCTCTCATTCTCACCTCATCACTCACTCTCTACTCGCCTCCGTGGAGGCGGAGGTATCTGCCTTCCGCCTAAGCCTAACTCGCAACAGCTAGAGAGAAAAAGCTACCAAAATGGGGCCAGTAGTGGGTTCGGACGGGCAGCAAGAAGCACCAGAGGCGGTCTGCAGCGGGCAGCAGAGCGGGTCAGCAGCAAGGAGCAGGGGCAGCAGCCCCGGTGTGCAGAGAGCGGTGAGCAAAGGCGGTGAGCAGAGGCGGTGAGCAGAGGCGGTGAGCAGAGGTGGTGAGCAGGGGTGGTCAGTAGGGGCGGTAGCGCAGGTCACCCCTGGAGGCACCTCTGTCAGCGGGCATGGTTCCTGGTGGGCCTGCCAGGTCGCCATATGCTGCACTGCTGTACTGCTGCAGGGGGAAGCACGTGCAGCCATGCAATCATGCCGCCATGCCATCATGCCATGATGCCGCCATGCCGTCATGTCATCATGCCATGCAGGGAAGGGCGCAGTCGGAGAAGAACAGGCACACAGCAGCACCACACATGCCATGCAGGGAAGGACACACAGCAGCGCCACACATACACAAAATAAGTACCTTGCTTGGAACCACAAACAAAGCCTCACCATCAAGTCACCCAGACACACACACACACAAGACGACAACCAGCACGGCAACAGCAAAGCAAGCACTCACCGCAGCTTGCCCGTACTCAGCCCCAGGAGCAGGCGCCTGCCCATACGCCTGCTGCGCTGCCGCCATGTAATAGCCCTGCGCTGCTGCCGCCGCCGCTGCTGCCCCCGGGCTCCTGGGCCCTGAGGAGGGACCCAGGGAGGGGTCGGAGGGGGCAGGGGCATATGCGGAGGGCAGGTACGCGGCGGAGGAGGGGGCTGGGGGGGGAGCGCCTTCCTGTGGCGTTGCCCTCTCCACCGCCACCTGCCGTTGCACAGAAGGGCAGTGGGGGGGCGAGATGGGGGGCGGGGTGGGAGGGAGAGGTTGGAGAGATGAGACAGAGGCAGGGAGGGAGACAGTGGGAGGAACATACAGGAATGGGCGTGACAACAGACAAGCGAACGAGGATGTTTGGTGAATGAACAGACGGCACTAGTGAAAGCCAGAAACCAGGAACGGCGACGGAGGAAGAGAAATGCGAGGGGATGGGCGGGGGAGAGGGGAAGGGGAGGGACGAAGGGGGGAGGGAGGGGAGAGAGGAGAGGGGAGAGAAGGGAGAGGGGAAGAGGAGGCACTGACGGTGCGGCCACAGATCTCATGCTGCCTCTTGGCAACGAAGGCTGCCACCTCCTCCTCCAGGAACGTCACGAAGCAGAACCCCCTGTGCCCTCCCTTGGCCGAGTCCTGCACCATGCACCACACAGCACACAGCATGCCACGCACCACAGTGGCACGAAATTAAGCTCAGTGCCTCACAGCCATGGCGTGCACGATATGAACAACATTTACACAGCAATTACACATTCCACAAAAGAAAGTCCCGCAGGCAGGCAGTACCTTGGGAAGGTAGACGTCCTCCACTGGTCCAAACCGCCCGAAGTACTCGCGAATGTCCCCCACAGTGGCGTCATGCGGCAGCTTCCCCACAAATATCTTGGTCGGGTGCACCGCCCTGCCCCCGCCTCCCCCCCCATACCCCTGCCCGCCCGCCCCCCCATGCCCCTGCGGAGGAGGAGGCGCAGCAGTATAGGCGGGCTCCCTGGGCGCGCCATAGAGCATGGCGGGGGGGTAGGCGGGGTAGGCGGAGGCGAAGGCCGCCATGGGGGGCATGAAGTCGAAGGGCGACATGGGCAGCGCCATGGCCCCTGGGGGGTACGCGCGGAACGGGCGTGCTGGGGACCCGCGGTAGCCCCCTCCACCTCCGCCCCTTGGCCCCTCGTCCTGAGAGGCGCGCAGGGGAGGGGAGGAGACAGCAGGACAGGGGAGACCAGACAACGTTATCAGATGGCCGCTCAGCGCACGCAGCCCAGAAAAGAACTGCTGGATAATCAAGCTGCCCTAGTTAGTTTTCCGAGAATGCTCCAGGCCGCTGGGCCAACAAAGAAGCTTGTGCAAGCAAGGGGTTAGTAAGGTGAATGACAGGGAAAGTGTCAGACAAGGGAGGTACCTTAGGCGTGGCTCTGTCGATGGCGAGCGTGGCTCCATCCAACTCCCGCGGCTCTTCCAACACCTTGTCCACCGATGCTGCACACATGGCAACCAGACGGGGTGTGAGTGAGAAAGGAATAGAACTGCGAAACAGCAACGCAGAATGACGGAGCGAAACGCATTTAACTGCCGCATTCGTGAGCATTCGTGTTATGCAGAGCAATGGTACCTGCGTCATCAAAGGTCACAAAGCCGATGTTACGATGCGGGTTGGACCCGTGGCCCTGAGGAGGAGAGGGGATGAACACCGAGCACAGAGCATCGAGAATGGAGCATGGAGCACAGACAGAGCATGGGGCACGGAGCACCGATGTGGATCAGTCCAATGCAGGCCTGCATTGACAGGGTGAGAATGGGGCTACAGCGAGACAGCAAAAAGCTAGAAGGGGCCGTACCTTGGGCATGTAGCAGTCAGTCACATTGCCAAACGCTCCGAAGTACCTGCAGCAGCGGAGCAGAGAAGCAGGGCATGGCAGCAGGTGGTTGCGGGGGCACGTGTTGAAGAACCAACAATAGATTCCGCGCTGCAGAAGTAGGAGAAAGGTAACCACTGGCTCAATGGCACGCAGCAGCATAGCACGTTACCTCTTAAATCTGTCCTCTGTGACGGTGGTGGGCACGCGCGCGACGAATATGCGTGTGGACGACACCTTGGGGCCCTTGGACATCTCCTCCTGCTCGCACACACCACACATGCGCATCAGTGCCCTTTTCTTTAAAAACGAAGCGGAAGGGTGTGGCGATGGCGACGGTAGGTGAGATGATGGGTTGGTAGCTTGGCTGGGTTGGTTGGATGGTTGCGGACGGACCTTGGGCGTGGCCGTCTTGACTTCCAGCTGCCGGCCTCCCAGGGTGTGCTTCATCTGCGCCACGCTCTGATGCACATACATGCCACGAATTTCGGATGGTTCGGATGATATAGTTACGACAGAAAGGAATGTAATGTTCGGATGAATATCGACCAGCGAAAAGTGATCTAGTCCATCCGATCGTGCTCCACGGAAGCAGACAACCGCCGGGCATCCTGGAGTGAAATGCTGCTCACCTGCGCGTCTGCGAGGAGGCTGAACGTGACGTAGCCAAACCCTCGAGACCGCCCGGTGCTCCGATCCTGCACCAACGCACAGATGAATATCATAACACCAGACGAACATTTCACAAAACTAGAACAGAAAAAAAAAAAAAACTGAATGCTGAAGTGGTGGCGAAAGGCTACCTTGAGTACGATGACGTCATCGAGCGCGCCGAACTTCTCCATGTATTCGCGGAGGCCCTCCGTGTCCATGCTGTACGGTATGCCCAGCACCTGCACGCACGCACCCGCCACGCGTCAGCCGAACTCTAACGAGATCCGCCAAGGATCAGGAACGCAGGGCGAGAGAAATGTAGGGAGATAAGGAACGCAGAACGATCGGAAACAAAGACACATTTCCTCTGAGACTCACAACGAGCTTTCTTGACACGGTGTCCTGCGAGGCCATCTTCGATGTCCGCTTGCTTAACGAACCACGAAATGTAACCTCTTTAACGAGGATAGGCGCTCGCGGCGAAGCTCAGCTGAGACCTCGCGATGCGATCTGGCGACTCCCTGAACTCAGCTACGCTCGACTCGCCTCGTCTCGCCTCGTCTCACTCCGCTTCCTCTTCTCAGCTCAGCTCAGCTTAGCTAAGCTTCGCTCAACTCCGCTTATCTCGCCTCCGCGGTCTCTGTCGCGACTCCTCTCCGCACACCTCTCCGCTCGCCTCACGCGACGTCTCAACACTCTCGCCTTGCCTGCAAGAAAGGAATCCCATGGCGGCAATCAAGTTACCTGACAACAGAACAGCTCAACTGGCGATAAAATGCTCACAAGCGACGAGTCATCATACTTTGCAACGAAGAACGGAAAACGCGGAAGCCTCACAACTCAAGAAGATCGGCTCAGCCTCGCGGGATCCCTTCGCTCAGTAACGCTCTGATCTCAGTGGTATCAGTCGCAATCACGCGCTAACGGATCGACTCGACGTCCCCTCGTCCAGCTTAAAGTCGGCGTGAAAGGCGGAGATGAGGGAAGATCAGAACCAGGTAGCGAGAGCAGCTAGTCCCAAGAAAAGGGTCTCTGAACAGATGATCTCGAGATTGCCAAGAATGTCTGGGGAGTAATGGCGTAGGGGTGGAAAGCTTATTGTTGGAATATCCGCGAGAGCGAGAAGAGGTGTATCACTGTACTGAACCACGTAATCTGGAAAACCTCACTTCCATGTTATATTCACAATTTGAGTTCTCGATAATCCCCATTTTTTGTGCAATGCATCCGACTTTTACAATGTAATTCTTTTACATTCATCAGTCTGTCACCTTACCTCAATCTCATTCATTTCCTTGTCAAGCCACACTTTCTTGAAACTGGTCTTTACCATTAAATACAATTCTAGGGGAAACAAAACACATTATAACTGTTAAATATACAAACATAAGATGATACTAATGCTGTTAGGTTTTACTGTAGTGTTCCTTTATAAGACTCTCAGCCCTCCAATAATTGTACAATTATTGGAGGGTCAGAATTATTGGAGTCAAGAATTATTGGCGGGTAGAATTATTGGTGTGGCGTTGTTGGTGTGGATAGAACCATCCTGAAGGGGTTAGCTGCTCAAGATAAATACCCTGCTCTGTCATTTCATAATCATCCTATAGTTCTGAATCATTTCAGTTGCAAGTTCCTCTTGCTACTTATTCTACAATCAAGCTTCCGCAACGCCGGCACTATGCCTTTCTAGCATGGTATCAGAGCTACTCTAGGGGGCATGCTGCCGAAATTTGGTTAGAACCTTGTCAGCATTCACATTGGACAGGGACATTAGCAAACTCGCACAGCAAGTGACAACATTTGGATTGGAGGCATGGCGCGATTCGACGATGAAGTCGATGCTGGATACGAGGCGTTTGAAGAAGCCATCATGGCTCAACATGAGCACCTGGAGAACATGATTGCAAGGGCACCACCAACACTCCAAGCGTCATTAAGAGCAAAGTTCAACATGCCAGCCCAAGTTCGAGATTTCAGCAACCCATCCATCCGTGAACAGTCACATGCAAGCACTCCGCGTACTAACCAAACCCGTACTTCAAATATGGATGCAGGGATTGAAGGTGAAGGAGAGGGAAGCTTACCCCAAGGAGGAGAGTCATCCCAAGGGAGGGATGCATCCTTCCAAGGAGAGGGGAGCTCCCACCCCGAACCTCAATCAACCATGCAAAGGGCAGCAACGGGGAGGGACGATGCGTACGGAAGTGGAACAAATGTGATGGAGCATGGTGATGGGATCGGCGTGGGAAGAAACATGAGAGGGCAGATTGGGGAAGGGAGTGGTCGAAGCAGTCATGTGGGCATGGAATGTGTGGGATTCGAATCCTACACTATTGGTGCTCCCCCACTGCGACGTCTCGCTACTAACTCCCATCCCATTGGAGTTCCCGAGATGGGCAGATCTCACCTCTTTGGCAACAACGTCGTACCTCCTCGTGCGCCACAGTTTCAAATGGAAGCTGCACCTGCAGGAAGCATGGGGCGCATGGGGCACGGGATGCAGTCAAGTGGTGTTATGCGACGTGATCAAGTGGAAGTGGTGGAACGTGAAGGCACACAACGCACGGTACAACTACCTCGACCATCTAACGTGCCTACGCTCTTCGACCCGTCTCCACGCGAGTACACGGAAGAAGACAAGGACAGGTTGTCACGCAAAATGGTGGGAGCAGCAGTGGACAAAGCGTTCACAACAACTCCATTCGACGGCACTAACTTTCGAGAGTGGGCTCTTCGGTTTCGCATGAACGCGCGCGTGACAAACCTGTGGGAGTTCTTCGTGACGCTACAATACCCGGTTACAATGGTGCAAGGAGAAATGCGAGATGCAATGGAACGGCTGGAAGTTCTACAAGCAGATTACTCACAACGTGCTACGCTGGCTTTTTGGGTGCTTCTGCATAGCGTAAGCGCAACGATTCAGCTGCAACTTGACGTGTTCCAAGAGTCATACAGTCCGGCATTCGAAGCATGGGAGTACCTGATGGAGACTTACCAGGCGAAGGATTCGGTGGCAAAGGCGTCTCTCCAGAGGCAATTGGACAACCTGAAGATGGGGAGCCAAGAAAGAGTGGAGGACTACATCAACCGAGCAACTGCAATTCGGGATAAGCTGGCAATGGCGGGAAAAATGGTGGATGAAGATTCATTCACCTTAAATTTGATCACCGGGCTGCCACCGCATTGGGAGGAGTTGAGGCATTCGGCAATGCTACACGACATCTCGGACAGCTACGCACTGCAACGAATGATGATTCAGGAACAACGCTACCAAGACCTCATTAGCAAGACCAACCGTGACAAGCGTCCTCCCCGCATGGCTGGCCAAGCACGTGGAGATAATTCACCAGCGAAAGAGAGAACCGAGACAAAGGACAACCGGAATGCGGCAAGGTCAGCGGGAGGACGGTCTAACCTTGTGTGTTGGTACTGCAAGGAATCTGGCCACCCGTTCTACAAGTGTCCGAAGGCGCCTCCGGGTTGGTCACCACCAGGTTGGGAACCACAAAACAGAGGGAGAACCAACCAGCGCACCTGGAGTAGCCGCTCGTCCTCGCCGCGAAGGAGTGAAAGTCCGAAACGTGACAACCAAGCGACAAAACAGCAAGGGGCAGGCGGGGGAGACAACAAACGAACCATGACATGCATTGCAACGGTTCGATCGTCGCAAACAACATCACCGTCAACCGGAGGGTCGATGTGGCTGCTGGACAGCGGATGCAGCCAACACATGACTTCGGAAAAGGAGTGGTTTGAGGGTCTAGAGGAGCTGAACGAACCCGTTTATGTGGAGCTTGCTGACGGAAGCCACCTGTTGAGCTCGATGGCGGGAACAATCCGAGCAACGGCACCCAATGGAACAACGGTGCGCTACACGGACGTACTCTACGTACCCGGCTTGAAGTCCAACCTGCTCTCCTATTGCCAGCTGTACAAGAAGGGAGCTCGCATTCACACACGTGAGGATGGGCGCACGGATATCACAATGGCGGATGGGGATGAGCATGTACTCATTGGAGTTGGAATGGTCATGCATGGGGTGCTAATGGTGCAATATGAGCCTGCACTTGCATCCGCCCATGCATCTGGTCATGATCATCCGAATGAAGCATTGAATGAGACTGACCTTGGAGGGCCGAATGTGCAATCTGCTCATGCATCCATCACATATCGCATGGCCCACAAGCGCTTGGGTCACCCATCATACACATCCATGGATGCAACATTTCGAAATGGTGATGTTGAAGGACTCACCATATCCGACAAGACTAACCCACTCAAACCCCCATGTGATTCATGTCTTCGAGGGAAGATGAGCAAGACCCCCTTTCCCACAGGAAGCACCAATGCCACAACTCGACCTTTGGAGCTCGTGCACAGCGACATCATGGACCTGGGTGATGCTCACCCTTCCCTTCGCTACGTGCTGACGCTCAAGGACGACTACACCAACTACCTGTGGGTGGCGCCGTTGGCTCGCCGGTCCGACATGGCTGCAGTTTTCTCGGCTTGGCACCGTGAGATGAAGACCAAGCTGCCCAAGATGCCGCTGGCTGCCTTGCGCACGGACAACGGGGGGGAGTATACATCAAATGCATTCACGGATTACCTGAGTTCTCACGGTATCAATCACCAAACGTCCTTACCACATACGCCACAGCAGAATGGAGTCGCCGAACGGGTTAACCGCACACTCATGGACCGAGTGCGAGCAATGACTACCGGGGCCAGCCTTTCCTCCAAGTTCTGGCCTTATGCACTGGAATATGCGGCATGGTTACACAACCGCATCAGCTGCAGCAGCAACCCATCCGCACACTCACCATACTTCATGATGATGGGAAAGGCAGCAGATGTCTCCATGGCCAGAACCTTCGGATGCCTCTGCTACTATCTCCCTCCCCAAGGCAGCTTTGGGAAATTTGAACAACGAGGACGGGCAGGCATGTTTCTCGGCCTCTCTAACTCACGAAAAGCATGGATCGTACGGGACTTGGCAAGCGACGTTGACACGGACACACGCTCAGCTCGCTTCTTTGACGACCTCATGCTCCCGGACGCCGAGTCTCTGCTCGAACGCCAACGGTACATCGATGAAGTCTCACCTCATATCTCGGAATGGACCTCAGGGGGAGAGGACGTTGGGTCAGCATTCGACTCTTTTCCCGCATCTCTCACTTCCTCCACGCCATCTTCTGACGTCTCTACAGCAGAACAACATGGACCTACGACCAATGACGCAGCTCAAGAAGACCCACCAGCAGCTACTGAAGCTGATATAGGAGAAGAGACAGGGGAAAGTGACTTACCAGCGGCAGGCATCTCTGTTTGTGAAGGTGCAGACAACAACGAACCAGAAAATGACGCAGGTCATCTATACAACTATGCCTACCCACCCGATGGGATCCCGCTGGCTGCTCCTGACGTGCCACCAAGGCGGGTTCACTTCAACCCAACAGTGACAGTACTTGGAGGAGAAGGACAAGGGATGGACAAAATGACAGGACTGGACGTACTGTTTGGGAGGCGGCAGGCAGGACAAACATTCACACGATTTCCCAACGTGCAGCAGCAGAACGTACTTGGATGTGCAGCAACCGACGTCCCCATGGTGGAGCTGACATACAAAGAACCAAAAACACTTCACGAAATGACCAAGGACCCGTACGCACCTCTTTGGCAAGCCGCTGTGGATGCAGAATTGGCCAAGTTCGATGACCTTGATGCATACGAAGTGGTGGACAGAGCGGACGTACCAAAAGGAACACCAGTGCTGTCGGAAGGAGTCGTTCTACGGGTGAAACGAGATGAGCACGGGCAGCCAAACCGGTTCAAAGCGCGCTGGGTGGTCAAGGGATGCGGCCAAACTTGGGGGACATATGATGGGACGTATGCACCGGTCAGCCAAGGACCTACCTCTCACGTGTTCGTTGCTGGTGCATCTGCTACAAAGCGGAAAGTGGTGCAATTGGACATCTCCAATGCATTCCTATACGCTCCGATTGACCGGGACATATACGTGAGACCACCAGAACCAAGGCGAGACGGAGACAAAGTCTGGAAACTCAAAAGAAGTGTATATGGGCTGAAACAAGCACCACGCTTGTGGCATCAGCACTTACGGGGTGTCTTGTTGGCGCTGGACATGGTGCAATCCGAATCAGACCCCTCTCTGTTTATCTGGAAAAGAGACGGACAGGACCCAGTGTGGCTACTCACTTACGTTGACGACATCCTCATCCAGTCTCATGACGCAGAAGGCATTGACGCTGTGATTCAACACTTGAAGCAGCACTTTACCTTAACGGTCAGCAAGACCATGACACAGTTTTTGGGGCTCAACGTCGCCGCGGACAATGACTCGATCGCACTCGGACTCACAAAGTACATCTCACAGGCTTTGGCGACATTCGGGATGGAGGGCAGCCGTTCCGGAGTACGGACACCGATCGCCAAGGAACCTGGACCACAAGGAGAACCACCGGACGAGATTGATGGTCAATTGGTGCTGAAACAAGTTGGGACATTGCTGTACATCTCAACAGCAGGGCGGCCGGACATAACATATGCGGCGCATGTGCTGGCCAGGCAAGCAAGCAAACCAACAGCAGCGACAGTGCTTGGAATCCACCGGGTGTTCACCTACTTACAGAACACTGCAAACATGGGGCTGGTGTATGGAGGAGGAGACTTGGTGCTCCGTGGATATACGGACTCGGATTATGCGAACGAAGAGGGGCGTCACTCAGTTGGAGGCTACGTGTTTACCTTGGGAGGAGCTGCTGTCAGTTGGAGGACCAAACGACAAACGGTCATTGTGACATCAACAGCTGAAGCAGAATACATTGCACTGTTTGAAGGAGCAAGGGAAGCCACATACCTTCGCCGCTTGTGTGAAGACCTCGGTTTTCAACAGCAAGAACCTACCGTCATCTTTGTGGATAACCAAAGCGCCATTGCGCTTGCAACCGGGGAGCAGATGAGTCAACGTATCAAGCACATGGACGTACGTTACCATTGGACGAGGAAGGCCGTTCGTGATGGCGTTGTGCGGCCGGAGTACTGCCCAACAACTCAGCAAGCTGCGGATTATCTTACCAAGCCCCTCACAGCGAAACAACATCTCACCTGCAGCCACTTGTGCGGTCTCCAACCTATTTCACATGTAGCACCGTCTGCACCCAGTACTCACATTGAAGCTGCTGGAGCTGCACTCTCAAGTCCGGGCTTCTCAAGGGGAGCTGAACAACACGGCATCACGTAACTCCACACATCTCACTCATGTGTTTGGTGATATGTGCGTGCTCACGCATGTGCGTGCCTCCAAACACACGAGTGAGAGGGGGAGTGGGGTGTGGAGTATCTTGGGGTGCAACAAATCAGGATTTCATCTCACAACCATCTTTTCATTTTCGTCATCACAAGAGTCAGCATATCATCATGAGAAGACCTACTGCAATCAGTAACAACAGCAGCCATCAGATATTCTGCTGGACAGTCGCTGCTGCTGGTTGGTCACAACCACTCGCCATCTACAGCGGCCGTTCCTGAAGACTTTATATGCCTGCAGGTTTCAGGGGGAGACGAAACATCAGCATGAGTCAACATGAGGCAAGTAGACAGAGGGAATCACAAGAGGTAGCTGACGTCTACTAAATACAAAAGTATGACTCCAATGAGAGGAGAAGAAGGGGGAGACAACTGGAGACAGGCACTGCTGGTGCTGCTCACCAAAGTGACGCAGGTGCTGCTGATACTGCTGCCACCCAGTGCTGGAGCTGCACCAGTGCAAGCGGCCAGCGCATCAGGGAAAGCTGCTGCAGCCCGGTGCTGCAGGGCTCCAGGTGCTGCAGGGCGTCAGGGGGAGCTCCTGCAAGCGACCAGGTGATGCTGCTGCCACCAGTCACGGGGTGCCGCTGGCAGACATTTGCAGACGCAGGCGCCAGGTGCAGAAGCAGCCGCCAGGAGCAGAAGCAGCTGCCAGGAGCAGAAGCAGCTGCCAGGAGCAGATGCAGCCGCCAGGAGCAGAAGCAGCCGCCAGGAGCAGAAGCAGCCACCAGGTGCTTGCGTACCAGTTGCAGCTGCCTCCGGGGTTCACCTAGTATAGGGGGAGCAGCACAGGGTCATGAGGAGCAGCACAGGGTCATGGGAAGTAGCACAGAGTAACAGAGTAACATGGGTGAAACTGACAAGAGTCAACTAAGCATTCTCACCTCGGTCGGAAGGAGAAAGTCGTGTGCAGCCAGGAGTAGCAGTAGTGGGCCGCCAGAAGTAGCAGCCGTGCAGCCGCCAGGAGCAGCAGCCATGCGCTACCAGGAGCTGCAGACGTGTGGGCCAGAGTGCCAGGTGCCGATGCCGGCTGCAGCTGCTCACGCTCGCTAGCTGGTATGGGCGGGGGTAAGGAAAATCACAAGAGAACGTGGGAGCAGTAACAAGCGACTTAGCACGGCCAGTGCTGCAGTACATCAATAGCAAGAAACACACATGAGTGAGGTCAAGGTGCAAGCAGTGGTAGTTACACGGAGAAGAGCAACTCACCTCGTCACGACAGAGTAGGCGCGCAGCTGCAGCGGTGCGGCGTCGGAAGCTGCTGGTGTGAGAAGGCCCCGCACCTGCCAAGAGCCAAGTGTCGCAGTGCAGATGCTGCCACACGAGCACAAGGTCGCCCGAAATGGCAAGGGGAGGGCGCGCACCAGCAGAAGCCGCCACATGTGAGGTAATGCAGCGGCGCGCATGCTGCTGCAGTCAGTCGCTGCTGCCGATCGCCACGGGCGCCATGAACAGCAGTCGCGCGCAAGGAGCTGCAGCGCGCAGATTGTCAAGCGAGAAGGTCACGGCAGCCGCGCGACCGAAGCAGCAGTCGCGGATCTGGCCGCAGCCTCAGAAAACGCGCATCCGGCGCTGCAGGTCGTCACGTGCGCTGCTGTCACCGAGCACCAGCCATGACATGGCGAGCGCTAGTGAGACGCGCAGCTGAAGGACATCGCGCCATGGCGCAGCAAATCCGGCGACTAAAGCAGCAGTCGCGCGATAGCAAAGGAAATCGGGCATAGTCTCATCAGCAGCAGCAGCAGGAAACGATGAACAAGAAACTGAACGGGAGGAGGTGCTGAGAAACCCTGAGACAATCTGTCGAGAATGAGCCTGAATGACGAGTCTGGAAGACCCCTGCTGAGCGAGAACCGAGAGATTGCGGGGAGAATTGCGACCCAGGGCGTAGCACTGCTGGAATCACCTGAGAAGCGAGACGTGCGCCTACTCAGCCTGGATCGTGCAGCCGTCGCAAGTATGGTTCCCGCCGACACTTTCTCGACGGAACGTTCGAAACCCTAGCAGGGTGGATCAATCAACAGTCACTGCCGTGATCACCGCCACCACCGAAATCACCGCCGCAATCAACGCCGTTACCACAAATTCAATCGTCAATTCCAACGTATCCTCCATTCAGTCACGCCTCAGTAAAACCTACAGCAAGGGGGAGTGTTAAATATACAAACATAAGATGATACTAATGCTGTTAGGTTTTACTGTAGTGTTCCTTTATAAGACTCTCAGCCCTCCAATAATTGTACAATTATTGGAGGGTCAGAATTATTGGAGTCAAGAATTATTGGCGGGTAGAATTATTGGTGTGGCGTTGTTGGTGTGGATAGAACCATCCTGAAGGGGTTAGCTGCTCAAGATAAATACCCTGCTCTGTCATTTCATAATCATCCTATAGTTCTGAATCATTTCAGTTGCAAGTTCCTCTTGCTACTTATTCTACAATCAAGCTTCCGCAACGCCGGCACTATGCCTTTCTAGCAATAACAACGCCTTTCAACAAATCAAGTAGCTAGAAACCTACGTACATATCCTATAACGAATAAATGGTTACACCAAAGCCCATCCAAAGCCTTGGGAACTCAACATGTTCACCGCTCCAACTCATTGAGGCATCTGGTCATTCCCATCACATGAAGAAACAGTGCTTCCATTATTGATACGAAAACTGAACCGTCTCCAGGTCCACTCAGTGGGAGAATCCGCACTCCTGGACTTCTCTGTGAACTCGACCAGCCCAGAGCGGTGCACCGCAACCACTATGCAGCTGCGCGTTCCATACGCCCCCTGGTGTGGGTGAGAGGGGTCAGTGAGACGAAGAGTGAAATTGGAGGGCAGAGGAGAACGCATATGAGACAGAATAAAGCACAGACGGGATTATTAATTGGTGAAAGACAATATGGCACCACCGGACCCACGAGCTGGTTCGGACAGCAGAGAAACAGATTGCACAAAAGGGCACGACAGGATAGAAAACAAATGGCCAGCAGTGTACCTTGGGAGTGTCACAGTTGACAAAGACAGGTGTCAGCCTCTGATCATACTCCGGCCCCATAGGGCAGTGCTCTGCCTCAGCCACGTCAGCACTGGTGTGAGGGTGCACAGGCTGCCACGCGTCCATGAGCACTCTCTCTATAATCACCTCTGCTGGCACCTCGCCCCCCTTACTCTCCGCCAGCAGCTCAGCTAGGTGCTCCTTGGCTCGCTCCACCTGCCAGACAGGAGTGTTACGAGCCGAAGAGGAGAGGCCAGGCGGTTGGATTTGGAAACGGGGGTGTGGAAAGAAAGGGGGGGAAGGTGCTTCAGGGCACGAGAACACATGTGATTCGTTCACACTTATTCATTGCTCTCGGCTGTGACTCCATCGCTCTGCTCTCTCCCGTCCCCAAGCCCCCCTTTCTGGTCCGACCTTGCTCCAGGGAGTGTCGAGAGCCGCATTGCTGAGTCCATGCAGCCCTCTCTCCACGCCCATCACACCACATGCTGCCGCCCCATCCCGCTCCTTCCCGCCACCATCTGCGCCCCTACTTGCGCTCCCCCCCTCATGAGGCGGGGCGTTGGTCAGGTAGTACATGCGCACATGCGCGGAGGGGCTACTGCTGGCTTCCTCCCCACATGCGCCCTCTGCGCATCCCCCCTCTGTGCTTGCTCGCCCCTGTTTCCGCTCCTGGTCCTGCTCCTCCACTGCTGCCGCATCCGCGCTGTGCCTGCTCTCGTCAAATGCCACGTCAGCAGCAACGAGGTTGAACCCGTTGAAGAGGTGCGCACGCCGCGCCACGGACTCCAGGTACTCGCGCGGACCCCCTGCGCCCTCCGCGCCCTCCTCGCCTTCCGCGCCCCCTGCGCCTTCGGTGCCGTCCGCGCGCCACGCGCCCTGGAGGAAGTCGGAGATGAGGGCGCCGCGGCTGACAGCGTCGGCGCGATTGCGGACGGCCCAGCAGTTGGAGAGGAACGCGACGCGCCCGCCCGTGCTCGCGCCCAGCCACGTGCCCCCGCACTGCAGGTCGCGCCCCGCCAGCACGCGCGGGTCGTCACGCCAATAGTGCGCGGGGTCCGTGGGCCTGGCGGAGGATGGGGAGTGGGGAGGCGGCGAGGGGTGGGGGGGAATAGGAAGAAGGTGGTGGTGGGGGGGGGGGGGGGGGGGCGGCGACACTGCTAGTGAGCGCATGAGAAACAAGAAAGGTGTTCGCGAGGGGAGCCTGCGTGAGGCCGGAGGCCGGGCGACGCCGGAGGGGAGTGAGCCATTAGGCGACGGTGGGCGACGGTGGGCGACGGTGAGCGACGGTGGGGACGGTGGCGAGAGGGAACGCGACGGACCTAGCGAGGAGCTCGTCGCGGTTGGAGGCGAGGAGCAGCGCGTAGAGCGGATGGCCGTCCAGCACCCACACGGACAGACACATGCTGCCGCGGGGCTTCGCGTGGCGAGTGGCTCGGTGTGGCGCGTGTTCGGATACGACCCGTGGCTCGATAAGGAATGCACGTTGGTCGTACGGGAGTGACTCAAGTGCGCGGCGATGGGTTGCTCGTCCGTGTGTGACGCAACGGGTGCGAAGGAATTCGCTATTTCAAGTATAGGAACAAATAGAGTTGCACAGTTGTGAAACAAGAAACAAATAAAGAAGAAATATGGTCGGTCTTTTGAATGGCGCCTGCTCTGGGCTTCTGAGCTGCTTGGGGAATGACGGGCTCCGGGATAGAATTGAGAGGCACACCGAAGGTTTCAGTTGTGCGACGGCAAGCGACGGTGCGACGTAACTCTCGCGCCGCAATACGATGCTGTTGGTTGACACGTCATGTTGAGTCAGCACGGACTTCTGTGCCTCCCAAGTGCAAGGTGCGTTTCAGTGATTGTGGCAGCAACATAACGCTCCAATTATGGAACTTTCTGAACCCACATAGCAAAAGAAAATAAAACATACACAGGTAAAGGCTTTACCACGTCTTAAACAAATCTGATGGCGTGATGCACTTTTCCCATTTAATGTGTTATCTACACACCATAAAAAAATGCATCCATACTATACAACACTACATAAAATATGTCCCAAACTTGGCTCTCACGTATACCTATCAAATAATATCTATAAGGGTATATTACTGGAGCGCGTCACAAAAGCCTCGCGTCTCAAACGACGAGATTCAGTGCGGTAGAAACACTCGATACCTTTGTGTAATGCGGTGCAGAGCTGTACATTGCTTTTGTGACGCCTAAAATGAAGACGTGTAATCGCAGGAATGTACCCAACTCTGTTATACATACAAGGCTGTAGTGTGATGCATAGTATAGGGTACAACACTTCTTGTGCTTGGCTCAAGTGAATGCTTGGTCCGAGAGTGCACTCGGTCCAACTGAGCCCTTGGTCAAAGTGGAGCAAGCGCGCGCTTGGCTTGGACCAAGAGCGCGCTTGATCTAAATGCTGTCAGATTTATATGACATAGCTACTGTAGGCTATGGTGGGGTAGCACATATGGGGTACAGCTTTCTAGGGTTTGTACTTGTACCCAACTTTCCCTTAGTCATTTCATTCTCGTTTCAGTTTTCTCATGGTATCGAGCAGGTTCCCTCGTGGGAACTGTTCCAAGGGCCCACCGTTTTTTTTTTCCTGCTCGGAGCGCACTCAGCCCCTGCCCGAGTCGCGCTCCCCTCTCTCTCGGCCCCTAGCGGCCCTGTCGCGCCGCCCTTGCGGCCCCGTCGCGCCGCGTTCGCGACCCCCTCGCATCGCGCTGCCTTCGCGGCCCCGTCGTGCCGCCTTCGCGGCCTCATCGCGCCGCCCTCGCGGCCCCTTTCGCGCCGCCCTCACGGCCCCTTCGCGCCGCCCTCGCGGCCCCTTCGCGCCGTCCTCGCGACCTCTTCGAGCCGCCCTCGTGGCTCCGTCGCCCCACCCTCGCGGCCCCGGAGCCGCACTTACCGGCCCAGGCGCCGCCCCTACCGGCCCCATCGCCCTACCCTAGCGACCCCGCGGCCCCACCCTCGCGGCGCCGGCCGCCACCTTTCGTGGCCCCGCCGCCGCCCTTAGCGGCCTCGTCGCCGCCCCACCCGGCCCTCCCGCCGTCCCTTCAGCGGCCCCGCCGTCACCACCTAGCCGCCGTTGCCGCTGTGCCGCCGAGCCGCCGCTGCCGCTGTGCTGCCGAGCCGCCGCTGCTGCCGAGCCGCCCGAGCCACCCGAGCCGCCCGAGCCGCCGAGCCGCCGTTGCTACCGAGCCGCCGAGCCGCCGTTCCTGACGAGCCGCCGAGCCGCCGAGCAGCCGAGCCGCCGAGCCGCCCGAGCCGCCCTGTCCGGTAAGAGCGGCACCTCTACCACTGCGTTGCCCTTAGCCTACTGCTCGCGCTGCTAGACTATTGCTGTCATGGCTACCCCCAGTGTCCTCGCTTTTGACGCTGAGGGTCGGGCCATTGACTTTGACGTCTGGATAGATGAAATGCAGCTTTTCCTACAGTGCGATAGGGCAGAGGGCCTAACCCTCTTTGACCTCACTTCTGGTGCCTCTCTTGCCCCTGCTGCTGATGCTGACGCCACTGTTCGCTCACAGTGGGCCACACACGATGCTGCTACACGTCTTGCTGTGCAACGCCACTTGCCTACCTCTGAGCGTACGCACTTTAGCCAGTACAAGAGTGCTAAGACCTTGTACGACGCTGTAGTTGCAACCTACTCTTCCCCTACCACTGCTGCACTTAGCTGCCTTATCCTGCCGTACCTCTTCCCTGACCTCGCAGCTTTTCCCACAGTCGCTGACCTCATTACGCACCTTCGCACTAGTGACATTCGCTACCGCGCTGCCCTTCCCGCTGAGTTCTGCGCCAAGAACCCCCCCCTATGTACATCACCCTCTACTACATAGTCACTCACCTCCCTGACACCCCTCACCCGGTCAGGGACCACTTTCTCTCTGTTTACCCCACCACCCTCACCGTTGACCTCCTCGAGGAGCGCCTCCTAGCAGCAGAGAAGAGCATAGTCGCTGTAGGAGCCTCTCGTGGTGACCCTCGCGCCCTTGTCTTTGAGGGGTGCTCCCCCTCTCCTCTCTTGCCCTCTGTTGCCTCTGCTGCTGCGGCCGACCTTGTTGGTCTTGAGTCGGTCGGTGCGGCGTCTACCCCTAGCGGGAGACGCCACCCTGGCAAGGGCAAGGGGGGCAGGGGCGCTAGAGGAGCTAGTGGGGGCGGTGGAGGCAGCGGTGGAGCCGGCGGAGGGGGTGGGGGTGGCGGCGGGGGTGGTGGCGGGGGTGGAGGCGTCGGTGGCGGCAGTGGAGGCGGAGGCGGCAGCGGCGGTGGCGGTGGGAGCGGAGGTGGCGGAGGTGGCGGCGGTGGAGGAGGCGGCGGCGGAGGAGGTGGATCTGGTCGGGGTGGCGCTGCGCAGAGGGTCGGCTCCGGTGGTGGTCAGCGCCAGCAGCAGCAGCGCACTCGTGAGATCCCCCCACCTCAGCAGCTTCGTGAGTGGTACGCTGCACGCCAGCGGGATGGGGGTACCGGTCCGTGCACCTACGTCCTACGCAACAGCGACCGCGCGGGTGAGCAGTGCGAGGGTGCGCACTCCACCCAGCGCTGCTTTGGCCGCTTGACGGACGCTTGGCGTCACCAGTTCCCCGAGGCCATTGAGATTCCTCACAGGGGTGAGCCGTCTAGGGCGGGAGTAGCTATCTTTGACCTTGACTTTGATGCTATTCTTGCTGCCATGTATGCTGTGACTATTAGTGATGAGGGTGACTTTTACCGGTGTTTCCCGCCCGACCCGGGCATTGGTACTGCTGCTCTAGGTACTGGTTAGGCTGCTGCTCCCGGTGCTAGCGAGGCTGCTGCTCTAGGTGCTGGTGAGTCTGCTCTCTCAGGTACTGCGTCGGCTTCGGCTTCCCACACCTTCACCCTTGACTCGGGGGCTTCTCGCTCCTTCTTTCGTAACCGCACCACACTCACGCCGCTTCGTCGGCCAGTTGCAGTCTCTCTGGCAGACCCCTCTGGGGGTCCTGTCCTTGCTCACTTCTCCACTGTCCTCCCGTGTCCGGCGGCCCCCTCTGGCAACCTGTCTGGTCTTTACCTCCCCTCGTTCTCTACGAACTTGGTGAGTGGTGCTGACCTTCAGGATGGGGGGGTTCACCAGTTCACTCCTGCGAGCCAGCGGGTGACCCACTGCACGGACGCTCGGACAGGCCGACACTTGGCCACGTTTACACGTCAGCCGGGGTCGAGCCCGTACACACTGACCACTGAGTCTCCTCCAATCACTGCGTCTGGTCAGGTAACTGCGTCGGGTCAGGTGTTTGCTGCAGCGTCCAGGTCTGGTCCTGAGTCTGCCCCCTGCTCGTGTCGCCTCCTGTCTCACGAGACTCTCCTCTGGCACCACCGCCTTGGTCACCCCTCCCTGCCTCGTCTCCGAGGCATGGCCTCCCGTTTCCTTGTCTTTGGTCTTCCCCGGTCCCTTCCTCCCCTTCCTCCGGGGCCTGCCCCTACCTGCGTCCCCTATGTCGAGGGTCGGCAGCGTGCTGCCCCTCACTCCTCCCAGTTTCCTCCGACAGAGGCCCCGCTGCAGACGCTTCACATGGACGTGCGGGGCCCGGCCCGCGTCCGTGGACAGGGTCACGAGCGCTACTTCCTGCTGGTGGTTGACGACTACTCGCGTTACACCACAGTCTTCCCCTTGCGCAGCAAGGGTGATGTCACTGAGGTGTTGATCGAGTGGATCCGCGCAGCTCGTCTCCAGCTCAGGACGAGTTTCGGCTCAGACTTTGTTGTTCTGCGTCTGCACTCTGACCGAGGCGGAGAGTTCTCCTCTGGCCTTCTGCGAGCCTACTGTCGTACGCAAGGCATCCGCCAGACCTTCATGCTTCCGGACTCTCCACAGCAAAATGGGATTGCTGAGCGCTGCATTGGCATGGTCATGGACGTCGCCCGTACGTCCATGATGCATGCGGCTGGCCCCCATTTTCTGTGGCCGTTTGCGGTTCGGTACGCGGCGCATCAGATCAAACTTCAGCCCAGGGTCTCCATGCCGGAGACCTCCCCAGCTTTTCTGTGGACGGGGAAGGTTGGCGATGCGTCTGCTTTTCGTGTCTGGGGATCTCGGGCGTTTGTCCGCGACTTGTCTGCGGACAAGCTGTCCCCTCGTGCTACTCCCTGCGTCTTCCTTGGCTTCCCCCCTGACGCGCCACGGTGGCACTTCTACCACCCCACCTCTCGCCGTGTTCTGTCCTCCCAGGACGTCACCTTTGACGAGTCGGTCCCCTACTACCGTCTCTTCCCCTACCGCACTCCGTCCCTCCCCCCGCCACCGCTCTTCCTTGTGCCAGGTCCCCCCCCCCGGTAGACCCCCTTCCCCCTCAGGGTCCTGCCCCTTCAAGTGTGTCCCAGGTAGACGCAGTCGAGTCTGTCGAGGTCGCTGGTGACTCTGGTGTTGCTGGAGGTGCT